ACAGATTTAATAACACTAGTATTTAGAGTATGTGAGATAGCCTTGGTACAGAAGAGAGGCCTAAACCTCTGGATCTCTGAGACACTCCAGACTTTGGCAGTAGCTGAACATTGGAGGGCAAGGACTGCCATGACTGTGAGGAAGAGGATCTAAGGAAGTAGCAGAATGACTAAAAAGGAGAGAGAGGTGATCCAATGCATCAGTTTCAAGAGGGATTAAAGGAAGTCACTTTGAAAATGACCATAGGGTTTAGGCATAAGAACTCCTCATGACCCTAACAGCTTTATTAGAGAAATTCTGTAACTTAGAATAAGCAGGAAATTTCTTCTTTTTATAATTCACTTCACATCCTTGTTGTAACCCCATCCATTCTCCATCCATCTTCCTCCTCTCCTTTTCCTCAGAAAAGGGGCCCTCCCTCTCCCATAGATCCCTGGTCATCAAGTTGCATCAGTAAGGAGCATGCCCTCTTCTGTGGCCTGGCAAGGCAGTCCCACCAGGGGGAAAGTGATCAAAAAGCTGGCAGCTTGAGTCCCTGTCCAATGCAGTCCTCACTTCCTTTACTTAGAGGGCCCACATGAAGCCTAAGCTGCCCAACTGCTACATCTTTGTAGGGGACCAAGGTCCAGTTCATGCATGGTCCTCGGTTGGTGCTTCAGTCTCATCAAACCCTCCAGGCCCTGGTTAGTTTTTTCTGTTGTTTTTCTTTGTGGAGCTCCTGTCACCTCCAGGTCCTTTTATCTTTCCTTCCACTGTTCCAAAAGACTCCCTATGCATTGCCCAGTGTTTAGCTCTGAGTCTCAGCATCTGTTTTGAGGTGCTGCTGGATAAAGCCTCTCAGAGTATAGCTCTGTCAGGCTCCTGTCTACAAGCTTAGCAAGGTATCTTTCATAGTATCAGGGGTTGGAACTTTCTGATAGGGTGGATCGTTGGATGGACCAGGCATTGGTTAGGCATCCCCTCAATCTCTGCTCTATCTGCTCTTATCTTTATCTCTGTACATCTTATAGGCAGGAAATATTTTGGGTTAAAAGTTTTTGTGGGTAGGTTGGTGTTCTCCTCCCTCTGCTAGGAGACTAGTCTAGTTAGAGGATGTCCTTTTCAGTCTCTATGTCCTCTGCTATTGGGAGTCTCTGCTTAAGTCCCCTCATATCCTTCCAGGAGCCTAACCTGGCTTAGGTCTTCAGTTTGTCACAGAGACACCCCACCCTCCATTTCTCTTTTTTCTACAGGCCTTCTGTTCTCTTGCTCTCACCCTCCCCAAGTCTGCTCTCTACCCTCTTAACTCCCTGCATCCCTTCTCCTGTCTTCTTCCCTCTCTTCAGCCACTACATTCTCTCTATTCTATCTTTCCTTCCTAGTGAGATTTATACATCCTCCCTTGGATCCTCTGTGTTACTTATCTTCTTTGGGTTTGTATCTCTTAGTATGCTTATTCAGTAGTGTATGACTAAAATCCACTTATAAGTTAGTACATATTTAGTATGTCTTTCTGGGTCTGGGTTGCCTCACTCAGGATGATCCTTTCTAGCTCCCACCATTTGCCTGAAGATTTCACAGTTTCTTTGTTTTTAATAGCTGAGTAGTATTCCATTGTGTAAATGTGTCACATTTTCTGTATCCATTTTTCAGTTGAGTGGCATCTAGGTTGTTTCCAGATTCTGGCTATTGTGAATAAGTCTGCTCTGAACATAGTTGAACAAGTGTCTTTGTTGTATGATGGAGCATCTAAGCTCTTCATCAGCCCTGTAACTGACTATATCCAAAATATAATGAATTCAAGAAATCAAACACCAGTGAACAAAATAATCCAATTATAAAATGGGGCACAGAACTGTAAACAGAGAATTCTCAACAGAGGAATCTTGAATGACTGAGAAACACTTAAAGAAATGCTCAACTTCCTTAATCAGGGAAAGGCAAATCAAAAGGACTCTGAGATTCCATCTCACACTGGTCAGAATGGCTAAGATTAAAATAAGGACAGCACATGCTGGGGAGGGTATCGAGAAAGGGGAACCCTCCTCCATTGCTGGTGGTAGTGTAAACTTGTACAACCAGTTTGGAAATCACTCTGGTACTTTCTCAGAAAATTGGGAATAGCTTTACCTCAAGACCCAGCTGTACCTCTCCTGGGTATATATCCAAAAGCAGGAACATTTTCAAACCACTTACTTAAAATTTTTCTCAATTTCTCTTCATTTTATGCTTCTAAAGTAGGCAGAGTGCCTTGCAGTTGTTACATAATATTGGATATATTATCCTGAGCTGATATATTCAGGCATTTTAGGCAGTTACATAAATACTGACTTTAATTCTTTTAAGTTTTAATGATTGCTTATCTGATTGACAAGTAAGGATTAATTTTTAAAAAAATTAATTTTTGCTGGTATCATGTAGATAATTACTAGTTGTACAATGCTGAGCAAAGAATTAAATATCTAAGTTCTGTTTATCTTAGGGAGATGACAGGTAACTATTTTATTTGGTTGTTAAAAGATTAAAATAGGAAATTATGTATTCTTATCACACATTCAGCAAATAACAGCGTACTATAATTGAATAAAAGCCCAAGTTTTGAATCACAAAAACCAAAGTTTAATTCCTAAAGCTTGTGATAACCTGGAGATTTCTTCACCTCTCATTATACAATGGCTGTAATAAGCCATTGTACTAATATTACAGGGCTGTTAAAATTTCTCTGCATGTTTCATGTAGAATTCTTAAGTCCCTCAGACAGAATGAGTGGTCCATAAATAGTAGCTATTATTATACTGTTATGGATATAATTGTAATCCTTATGATTAAATTAACAAAATAATAAAACCTTATGCTTTGTTGGTTGAGTCTTAGCTATAGTCAGACCTGATGTCAACTCTAACTTGTAGTGTTTTATTTGCTTTGCAGTTTTTTATAATAGTTTTGCCACTACCATGTATTAGTGAAGATCAGTTTTATATGGTTAGCAGTTAGATTATTTTGTCAAAGTTATACTGGTCTCTAAACAAGAACCTTAAATAAGGTCAGATATAAATATAAGTGATAGGTCTTAAGTTACCCTATGAATTAGAGATGACTTTTCTGAGTCTGGGCTTAAAGAATACATCTGGACAAGCAAATGAGGCAGCTGTGCTGGAAAGTACTTAGAATGAGAGGGAGAAACAGAGATTGTTTAGATCAGAAGATTAAAAAAAAATAGACTCCTTGAAAATATGGCAATAGACAAGCTGCTGAGAAAGTAAGATCTCTTGCAGACCATGCCTAGTGACCAGAGCTTGAACCCCGGGCTCCAAGCAAAGGTGGAAATAACCGGCTCCATGGGGTTGTCTTCTGCCTCACACAGGCATTTCCTGATATCAGTTCTTCTACCACCCTCTAACACTATGTGTGCACAAACAACAGTACAAAATAAAATACATTACCGAAAATCACATAGATGACAAAACACAGAAATCTCTTCAGAAAGCTTAAGAGGCATGTAATTAAGTTTCTAATGTTATTGATGAGATAATACTGAATTTATTTTCTAACTTTCCAGGGATTGCAGCAGCAAGAAATAATCTGGTTCCTAGTTATGTGTGCTTCTGATTAACACACACAGAATTCTGCTGTGTTTGTTGTCATAAAGCAAAATTGAACAAAATAAATTGTGGGACCTCTTAAACTCAAATGATACAGTTATGTAAAACTATGTAATTGTGATATAAAAATGAGGCTCCCTGTTTGTAATGCAAGGTGCTGTGTTTTTGGTTTTGTTTTGTTTTGTTTTGTTTCATTCGAACATGAAAAACTTAAAAGCAACTATCTAGAAAGGGGAACTAATTATTTGGGGACAACAGCAGTAGGGGGTAGAAAAAGACAAGGGCATTTAGACTTGTAAAAACCAAGTACAATGACTTATGTATGAGAAGGTCATAATGAAATATATTGTATTGTGTGCTAACTAAAGAATATTTAAAAGAATAAGGCAGCTACAGAAACAACCAATTTTTATAAGGGATTATAACAGATTGCTTCAGGAGTGATGAAAAGAGACAAGGCCCAGATTTTTTGGTTCTTTTGCTCTTCTTGGGAACTTCTAGTCCCTCCAGGTCTTTCATCTCCCCTTTCTTTCATAAGATTCCCTGCACTCTGAGCATCTGCCTCAATACTTTGCGGGGTACAGCCTTTCAGAGGCCCTCTCTGGTAGGCTCCTGTCCTATCCCTAGTTTTCTCCCTTTTCTGAGGTCCATCCTCTTTGCCTTTCTGAATGGAGATTGAGCATCTTAGCCAGAATCCTCCTTGATTAGTTTCCTTAGGTGTACAGATTTTAATAGGTTTATCCTACATTATATGTCTACTATCCACTTATGAGTGAGGTATGTACCTACCGTGTGTGTTTCTCCTTCTGGGATACCTCACTCAGGATGATCTTTTCTAGTTCCCACCATTTACCTGCAAATTTCATGATTTTCTTGTTTTTAATTGTTGAGTAGTTTTCCATTGTATAAATGTATCACAATTTCTGTGTCCATTCCTCAATTGAGGGACATCTGGGTTGCGTCTAGATTCTGGCTATTATGAATAAAGCTGCTATGAACATGGTTGAGCAAATGTCCTTGTTGTATATTTGAACATATTTTGGATATATGCCTAGGAGTGGTATAGTTGGATCTGGAGGTAGCACTATTCCTAATTTTCTGAGAAAGCGAGAAAGCGCCAGATTGATTTCCAAAGTGGTTGTACAAGTTTACATTCCCACCAGCAATGGAGGAGGGTTCCACTATCTCTACAAAGTTTTTAATAATGTTTATACATGTAAGATGACTTTTTTATATCAAGTTGTTTTCTACAGTTTACAATGACCTTAAAACTCTATTTCCAGTTAACTAAAATTTATTCAAAAAAATTATAAATAGGAACTGAATTGGTAGGTGCCTGTATGGGTTTTATTCGTACAGCACTGGGAAGCAATTACTTTCCCCCAATTGTAACTGTCTGCTTAATTTCTTCCTTTACAGAGCTACATTCATGGAAGCAGCCAGGCTCAGTTTGTGGCAGAGTCACACATCATTCTGGTACTGAGTATCCTTTAAAATACTGAGGGATTGAAAAGGTAAAGGAGAGATTGCTATTTTTCTGGGAGTACATATCAAGAGTTTTAAAGTTGATAAACTAAGTTTCTAATTCTTACGTAATTAGTTCCTTGTGTACTGTATTTTCTGTTATGCTGAATTTTTTGCAGATTATAAATTTTGCTTTCATATTGGCTATTGAATTTTATAGTATTGATTTTATTCTGTGTTGATTATTTCTGCCTAGGTTGTGTGTATGTGGGGGGTAGGTGGGTAGAGGGGTGTGTGTGTGTGTGTGTGTGTTTGTGTGTGTGTATACATATACATATAATTTTCCTCTAAGGGGATTATTAGAAGGGTAAAATGTCATCTCATATAAACAATAGCTCAAAAGTATATTATTTATATGACTAGATGAAGTAATACATATAAAGTGTAGGAATAAATAAGTGGAGATTAGTTTAATTGCCATTTTGATTTTCCACTTGGAATTTCACTACTCACAAATGAAACACAGAGGTACATCTTATTGGGCCAAATGACAAAAGGTATAGGTGAGGAGGAAATATAGCCTGTGGTATCTTGTAGTCACAAAACCTATACTAATAAACTCAGTCTCCAAGTAGGTTCCATAGTGGGGGGAGCAGGGGCTTTCTCTGACATGAACTTAGTGGCAGGCTCTCTGATCACCTCCCCCTGGGGGGTGCAGCCTAGTCAGGTCACAGAGGAAGACAATGCAGCCAGTCCTGATGAGACCTAACAGACTAGGGTCAAATAAAGGGGAGGAAATCCTATCAGTGGATTAAGGGAGAGGCATATGGGGAAAGGAGGGAGGGAGGGGAGACTGGGAGGAGTTGAGGGTTGGCGCCACAGCCAGGATACAAATTGAATAAATTGTAAAAAATTGTAGTAATAATAAAATAGGAAAAATGCTGAAATAATGTCATTCTACCAAGATGAGATGGACTCTTCTAACTGTTCAGTTACAGGTTAGCTTTCTAAAATGGTACTGTTCATTGGCCTGAAATTTAAGATGAGTTTTGTAAAATGTTTTAATATTCCTTGTTTATTATTCCAGGGAACTAAACCCTGTGTTTTTTTACTTCACCAAACCACATTGACTATCTTCAGTGTCTGTTCATGTCATGTTAGCTTATCTGTTAATGCTGCAGTTAGATCCATACATTGAATTGCAAGCAATTACAGTTTATTGCTTACATTGACCTAGCAATATACAGTTTTAAAAGCAGGCAATTGCTGTACACCAGAGTGGGTTTGGGTGAGAAAATGAAATAGTTAACATTTTGATAGGGCCAATTCTTCATTAAAATATAGGAGCAAAGACACACCTGCTGTCAGTTTATATTTTCATTATTTACATGTCTGCATGAAGTACGGGCCATGGAGATTGAAGCAAATGGAAAGAAATCCCAGTATGTATCACAGGTGAATTGTTTATTTTTAGATTGTACTCTTTCCTTTTGCCTTTTCTGATTTGTTTCTGTTGTTCAGCATATTTGCAGCGTGATTCCATCTATGTAGCAATTTTCTCAACTGCAAGACATATGGAGGAGTGAGAAGCCAGTTGGAGATTTCTTTCACTCTATGCCAGGAATTCTCCAAGGCTCTGTTTCCTAGTTCATTGTCATCAAGTTGAGATTTAGAATAGAAAGATATTTCACAAGCAGTGTGAGTGAAGTCTTCCATATAGATTTAGCAGTAATACATAAAACAAAAGTCCCCATTCTCTTTATCCTCATAGCACTTCTTTCTTTCTTAATTTTGTGTGTTCCTAATTCTGAAAGAACTGTTAAAATATGTGGTTCAGGCAGTGGGAAGGCTACTGTAATGTTAGCTTAAACTTGTTGCTAGGAAAAGTTAAAGGAATTCATTTTGACAGTTTTCTAATATTAGTTTCTCCCAATAATAATCTACTGACATTTTTATTTACCATATTCTACAATAATTTGTATGAGTATCTTTCTTTTCTCATCATTAGATGAGGTTGTTTTATGCAAGCCTTGGCTAAATGCACAAGAGAAAGCAGAATGAGTCTTGTGTCATAGGTTAAAGATTCATATTTACTGTTACTGCTGTTCTTCATATTGCTAGTGTTTTATTAACACATAGGCAAAAGGAGAGGAAAAACAGCTCTCTGTGGTGTTTTGGAAAAAAATTATATTGTTGTTGTAAATAAAAACATAGTGTTGGGCTATATAATGTTTATCATTAGCCCTAAGATTATTGCGGCAGTATTATTTAACCCACAGTCACAATAATAAGACACAGACACCTGTTAGATTTTATAATTGCCTTGTTTACCTTGGGCCAGGCAGGTATTTCACTTACACTGTCTCAGTATCTTCACCATCCATCTCCCAGCCCCCATCCAGTGCCATTCACCTTAATCATCCTCATCTGATCTACCTTCCATACATAACCCCGTAGTACTTGCTTGTATTCTTCATCTGGGCCTTTTCAAGCCATTATTGGAGTCCTTTCTCTTGACCCACATGTTTTGTTTTGTTTTGTTTTGTTCTCCACACTAACCCACTGTGGAGTCCTCCTTCCTCCTCTGTTCCTGTCCTCTGTCTCCCCTGATTCCCTGTCCTCAAAATCTTGGGAACCATAGCCATGCCTACTCCATTCTCCCCTGCCTAGGTATAGGCCTTCCATTAACCAATCAGGTGTAATGTATTAGGCAGGTTTACACAACAAAGATAAGTTTCCACAAAAATGATAGTTTAACCATATCTCAAGCCTCAGTACCATGCACCAGGCCAGCCTCCAACATTATATGAAAAAGAATAATCAGTATTATATATGGTGTGTATCTGAAACACCTAGAAAAACTAACCTGCTTTGTATTGCTCCTGGAAAGTCATTCTGTTTAGTTCTTAGACTGTCTTTATCAACTGATGTACTGTAAAAGAGTTCACTGTTCACAAGCTAGAGTATCTAAAAGTGTAGTCTAGTGTTACATACGCTGTGATCACCCTATGGGAAAACAGCAGTAACAGCTAGGGACTCTTGGTCTGGAGAGAAGCTGAAACAACCACCTTCCATTCGGCTTTGGGCTATACAAAGAATTTCCAAAGTCAGAGTGGGATCAGGGTCATGAAAGTGCTCACTAGGAATTTGCTGTCTCTGTGGGTGGTGGCGGGATACATATATGCATACCTACATTCATACATGCATACGCATATGTATGTCCTCTTAGTATTCCTTAGTATCGGATAATACAGTTAGCTAACTCATCCATGGGGAAGCCTAATTTTTCCTCTTTCAAAAGTCCTTAGTTGTCTGTCATTCTTTGTCTAGGGTTGGGGCCTGTGGTATTTCTGCCTTCCACGTTGGTATGTCTCTGCTGGTGTACTTCTTCAGGTCCTTTTAGACAACATGTTGAGGTGTCATGAGTATAGCTTCCCTGTTATTTCTAGAAGACACAATCTCAACAGCCTCCTTGGTCTCTTCTGGCTTCTAACAGTCTTTCCAACCCCTTTTCCATGATGTTCCTTCAGCCTTATGTACAGAAAATATACAACAGTATTTTTGTTGTAGATGTATAAATGGGACTGGGCACCTCACTGGTCACTGTCAGTTCTCTGCATTTTGACCAATTGTTGTGTATGAGAATTTGTGGAAGGAAGCTGTGTTTGCAGACTGATTGGTTGACTAGAACTTCAATACTGTGGAGAGATTGGAATTCTGCATGTCTTATTACCTTATCTTGGACTAGTTCTAAATCCCAGTACTATTCCTTGCCCACCTCAGTGTTTGAACTCGCATCTTGTAACTAATAAATAAATAAAAACTTTGAAATCTATTACTATACAACATTAGCTTCTGCAAACCCAAAAGCTAAAAATGACATTGGATAGCATCTTTATCCTATTGGAAATCTTGCCCGATCTTGTTATAATTGCCAGTCTTATGTGTCCACTATTTGCCTTTAGCTTTCCTTGTTATGTTTTTCTTTGTTGTGTAAAACAGTAAATCTTAAAGAAAAATTTTCTGTTGAAAACTGTTGCATTGGAACAGAACATTTTGTGTAACCAGAATCTGTGTTCCCTGGCCATGGTCACTCAAAATGTGATAATAAACTATCTCTAATTCCCTTTAAGATGAGAGCTGTAATTTTGTGAAGGCATGGTTTCCTCTAGTGTCTCCATCTGCAGAGAGACAAGCTTCTTTGATGAAGGTGAAGGCTCCCTTATTCTTTATGAAGTGTTCTGTTGAAAGGATGAGACTTGGTGAGCTTCATGCCCCATTTCCTTCAATCATATGTCTTCATTATAGCCAGCAGATTTTAATAGTCTGCCTGCTATGTTTGTTAAAAGCCCAGGAGATTAGCCTCCAGAAGAAATCCAATAACTGTGTCCCTTTGCTGACCTGACTTCTGACACTGTAGTTTAAAATGTTTTGGATAGTCTACCTGTATGAGTTCCTCTTAGTCTGTAATCACAGAGTGCTAATAATACATAATGGAAAATGAATATAAACTTGTGTCATTTCTCTTCATAGGTGGGGATTTCTGGTGTTCATCTCTGCTTTTTGTTGTCATTATTTTAAAGATACTTTTGTTACACATGGATATGAATGATGTTGATCCTTAAGGAAGTTTTACTTAAATTTAACCTGTTTTTGTAACATTCATTTGTATCCAAGTATAAAGTATAACCTATGCATTTACATCTATATATATTTGATCAAATTATAATTCATATAGAATTCTAAAGTTTTTAACCAAAATATATTTGTAATATTAAAAATATAAGTAAATTTTTAGAATAACTAAATTTAATATTAAAAATATAACTAATTTTTATGTAGGCACTAAAACCAAAGCCAGTATTCATTTATAATCATATGTGATAAATAACTTCTCAGATCTCTGTCAATACAATCATGAGGAAAGTCATTCAAAACTGAGTCTTCAAAATGAAAACCCTGGCAATTTTAATGAACATAAAGCCATATGTAAAGCTAATGAGTTGTTACAGTTTGTAGACTTATTCTCATATCAGTGTGCAGAGCAGTTCTCATAACAAAACCAGTGCTGTATGACTGACACTCAGGAATTCAGTGATACTCAGGCTTGAGTGGACTCGAGCCTGTATGCTGAGGCTCTCTTGAAAGCTTGGTAGGGGCACGGGGACATGATGGTGTAGAGTGGGACAGGCCGACTACACAGGCCTGTGGGACAGACACATCTGTGATAATGTTCAGCATCTAACAAAGATTGGTTTATTTGATAGTTTTTTTTCCAGCGAAGATTCCAGTGCTATAATAACTGTAATAGTTTGAAAATATCTCTAAAGAAAGGTCATCATAACATAAAAGAATAACTTTAAAAGTTGGAAATTATTATCCAGATGTTGGTTAATGAGTCCTGGCACAAACTCAAATACAAATAATATAGCCGGCTAAATTCAGTTATATTAAATATTATATCACTGTGTAAACTACCTGTGTGTGGAACTGTATACTCCACAAAACTTTCTCTGTCTTCCTTCATTTAACTCCACAGACATAGCACAGTGGTACCCTTTCTGCTTTTGCTGGTTAGAGATGAATCAAGAGATTGCATGGTGCTGTTTTCACATACACAACAAGAGAAATGAAGACAGAAAAGCCATAATTAAGGAAATGGAAGAAAGTCTAAGCTAAAATTCTGTTTTTTTATTTTCCTCTATTTTTTTAATTCATTAGACATTTAAACAGATACATACTAGGTATTTCCATTATTGGTGAGTTCTAAAATCCTAGGAGTAGATACTATCAAAAGCACTTTAAAAGCATGACAAAATTGATTTGTGAAGCTGAGTGATCCCATCACAATAACACACCTGGCATCTTTGAGCATGGCCTGAGTAAGCGCATCAGTTGTAAGCACACATTAAGTAGGGGAGAGTGTCCTTTTTCCCTTTGCTGTAATGAAATACCTGAAAAAGCAACCTAAGAAAAGATTTGTTTTAACTCACTTTTTGAAGGGGAGCCTATCAGCAAGATGTGAGGCAACTGGTCAGTGCATCCACAGTCAGGAATGAGAGGAATGAGAGGAGAATGCTGGTGCTCAGCTGGCGTCCTTCTCTCTTTCCTTTTGCTTTGTTGGGATCCCAGCTCTCTGCACAGTGCCGCCCGCATTCCAAGTGCATCTTCTCTCTCCCAATAAGCCTATTAGGTGTGAAACACCCCACAGGTGTGTTGCAGGCCATGTCTCTTGGTGATTCTAAAGTAGTCAAGTTGACAATACAGAATATCAAATTAGCACAGCTCTGTTTCATTCTTAAAATGTCAGGTGACTGCTCAAGATCCTTCTCAATTATACCATAATATGCTTGCCTGCTTGTGTAAGGCTTATAATTGACTTTCCTTAGTACCCGAACTAGAGATTTTTCTAAAAATTTAAAGATTTTATAAAGTGATACCTCTGAAATTCAAGAACTACATAAATACTCAGATATGCCATAAATATGAGAAAAATTAAAAAGGAATCTTGATGAATACCTTCTAATATTCTAGAATTATTAATGTTGTATGTCACTTTAATGCATTTATTTTTATGTAAAATATGCAATTTTATAAACAATTTTTTAAACTATGTAATTCATATGTGTTATGAAAGTCTGAAAAATTAAGGCAGACTCACAGCTTGGTAATTGTATACAAAGATTTGATTGTCTTGTTCACATTTGTCCTTTAACTGTCTGGAACATCATATTCAGATCCAGGTGAAAAGAATAGCGGATTTTATTCACACCTGCCTGTGGTTTCCTTGACAACTACTGTAGATGCTGCTATCACCATGGGGATGGTTCTTCTAAACGAAGCAGCAACTTCCAAGGGGGATGTCGGGAAAAGACGAAGTAAGTTTATGTTGCTGTAGCTGTTGTTGTGTTTTAGTCTCAAGATATGTTTAATTCAAAGGGAAAACAGAGAAGAGCCCTTTCTAAACAGACCACCTTAAGAATTCATTTGTGTTGCAGGAAGTTGATTTTGTTTTAGTTTATTTCTCTGATGTGTGTGAGAATGGACTTAAAAACTGTTCTTCCAAAATGGCATTTGGGTGCTTTCTGCCCATCAACATGCCCAGGAGAGGGAGATGGCATCAGGCTATCAGGGATGCTCTGGCCCATTTCTGCTTTAGCTGGTCTCAGCTGGGACTTTCTCGCTGCACAGATGGACAGTCCTGAGAGATTTTATTGGCAGTAATATATTTTTATGTTATGAGACTCAGGGATCTCACAGAAGCCGGTACAGATACAGGAGCTACTGCTGAAATGTCTTTTGTGCACAGATCCTTGATGACTGTCTGGTCCCCTCCACATCTTTTACAGGCATTTAAGAGCACATGGGGAATCTCTCTGTTCCAGGAAAGGCAAGAATTGCCTTTTCCAGGAGCTTTGCTTTTCTATTGTTTTCCCACGATTTACAACCCTGTCAGATGGCCAGCATTTTAGGTTTGATCAATTTAACTTTTATCTTTTGAAGGGACTATTCAATCTCATAGGATTGTAGAAAAAAAATTACATTTAAAGTAACAGACATTGGTACAAGAAGAACAGTGTCTGGGGCATTGTCTCCTGCCCAGAGAGTAACAGGTCAGGAAAGGACAGGAGCTTGAGGAGGGCTTTCATAAAAATATTTAAAGTACTCTAGATTTGCTTTTTCTTACAGTATTTTTTAAGTATTTTGAGTGTTTAAAGAGCTATATTGAATACTGAAATTCATGAAGTAGTGAAATGTTTGGAGGTATAGTTGAGCCTGGCTTCAATGTTCCTCACATGATTTCTTCACTAACATAAGGAAACTCAGAACTGAGCTCATTGCCTTGAGTATGGTGACATCAGTAAAGTGCTACATGTCTTTAATGTTCTTCTTGGGATTGGCCAGGCATTTTAATGCCTAATGTGGTTGTATGTTAATGTTATTTCCTCCAATATAAATCAGAGTAAGAGCTTTGTAATTTATTATTTAATCTCGTATCTATGATACAGAGCATAAGAGAACATTGCCTTGAACTTCCTTCTTAAATGATGTTATGTGTTGTTGGGGTGAGAAGAATGCTTGTGAGAAAAAAACAAGAGAGGATCACACAAGGTAGAAAATGCCATTACCTTTGGGTCTTAGTCTGCTTCTGGTTTTGAATTTTACAACTGTTATGATTATCACTCTTGCCCTTGCGACAGAGAGTGGGCTTCATTGAGCCTCCTTCCCCTGCTGTTAACTCACAGACTCCTCTATTCCCCTTCATGGATACTAGAGTAGCAATATTTTGCTTTGACTACATAGAGACAGAGTAGTATGTCTGATTAGCTTGATCACAGCTTTGGAGCCTCATTCTCCATTGCTCTATTCCTCTTCTAAACAGAACATAAGAAAATAAGAAAGAAAAAATTGTGTAGTAGAAAGTTTGAGAAGGTAGGCAATAAAACTGTCTAAGCTTAATGAGATAGTTGGAAGAAATCATTATGTACTATATATCCTGGATCTGATGTCAGTCATACTTTGAGATTATACAGCTTTTGAAAAGGTGTTTTACGGTATATACTCACTTATGTAGACCTATAAGATATAATAAACATAATGAAATCTATACACCTAAAAAAGATAATCAAGAGAGCGTACATGGGGTAAGATTATCAATCCTCGTTTAGAAAGACAGATGGGATGCGCATTGAACATTGACAGGAGTCTACTGAGCGCATTGGAAAGACTCTAACTAGCAGTGTTTTCAAAGCAAAGACTCATGACCAAACCTTTGGCAGAGTACAGGGAATCATAAGAAAGAAGGGAAGTTAGTCTGATGAGGAAAGGATAGGAGCCCCACAAGGACCAAAGATATCTGGGCACAGGGTCTTTTCTGAGACTGACATGCAACCAAGGACCATGTATGAATGTAACCTAGTACCTCTGCTCAGATGTAGCCTGTGGTAGCTCAGTAACCAATTGGTTTCCCATAGTGAGGGGAACAAGGACTATTTCTAACAGGAACTCAATGACTGGCTCTTTGGCCTTCCCACCCCCCAAGGGAGGAGCAGTCCTGTTAGGCCACAGAGGAGAGCTATGCAGCCAGTCCTGAAGATACCTGATAAAACAGGATCAGATGAATGGGGAGGAGGTCCCCCCTATCAGTGGACTTGGCAAGGGGCAGGGAGGAGATGAGGGAGGGAGGGAGGGACTGGGAGGGAATGAGGGATCGGGACATGGCTGGGGTACAGAGTTAATAAAATGTAACTGATAAGAAAAAAATAAAATACAAAAAAAATAAAAATAAAAAAAATATTTTCTGGGAAAAAAAAAAAGAAAAGGTGTTTTACACTCTTTCTCTTTTGCCTTGTCTCTCTGCGACCCCCTTTCATTTCCCCTAATAAACATCCCACGTGGAAAAAAAAAAAGAAAAGGTGTTTTACTTTATTTTCTGTTAGTATTCATATGAAGCTAACAGATGAGGGTGGTCACAAAATCAGCTGTGGCTGAATGCTACCAAATGCTCCTGATGTTTGATCAATTCATCAGTGGCTGATATTATTGAAAAGACTGCATAGACAACAGCACTCTGAACTGTGTTCACAGAGCAGCCCCTTCACTACTACCTGACTTCAGGATTGCTGTCAAGCCTGCTTTCCTTCATGTACTAGCAAAAGCTCTTTTCCCTGCTGTAGAAGCAGGGATCTGTTTCACCGCAGTGTTCTTCTGGCTTAACATTTTTTAATCTTTGTCTTTGCCTGCTTTTCTTAATTATTTTACTCTCTGAATATTCCCTCAGACTAACAAATATGTATTATGTCTTAATTATCCTACAGCTGTTTTATTCATATGCAGTATTTGAGTTACACTAATGTATAATTCTATAGGACAGGTCTAAATAGAATTGTTTTTTTTTTTATTCTAAGCAAGTCTACATTTAATTCGCTAATGTACTTTAAACTTTAGAAGCAGGTCTTAATTTTACTAATAGCAGTGAATATTATTTAAATATTCATATAATACATGAATATATATTCATATAATATATGTATAATAGATTTGTATCTGCAAACTATTCATACTCAAACCATATTGGTGTATGATAACTAATATGTTTCATTAGTTATCTATGCTGAGTGAAAATAGAAAAAAAAAAGAAAACTGAGACAGCAATGTCCCAGTTGTCAGATTTCAGTATTACTGAATGGTATTGAAGGCCTGGACTGCAGCACAGCCACGGGAATATGACCCTTTGCTCAGTCGTAGAAACTTCAGCTATAGCAGTCTGACACCGTGACCTGCTCTGCAATAGTTTCCTGTCCTTGGCCTTTGCTAGAACATACTTCCCTACCCTTTTGTTTGCTGCAATATTGTATTTCTAAGTAAAATGAGCTCTACTGAGGCAGTCATGAAACCAATAGCTAGAATTACATTTCTGTATGAAAATCACAGGAGGGCTTTTGAGCATCTGCCAAGTCATATGCACCTGTAGTAGGCAGGGCCTCATAATCTGGGGGCTGATAATCCTGTTTTTCACTTTTCACATTTGGTTCTCTTTTGATGCCTCTGGGACATTGTAGTACTTACAGAAACTTTTTTAAAAAAAGAAAATCACAAGTATTAGACCAGTCAATTTTATTGTTTCATACCCCAAATGGTACATTTTCATTGGGAAGAATGTGGAAAATAATGAATACATTGCATTGTGGATTATCTGGCATGTGGTCCTTATATGTGCTTAAACTGTTGCATGTAAGTATTTTGTAATTGAATACATTTCAAAAGTACCAATATTTGCATGTTTTTAAGACCCTAACAGTGTTGTCTCTTTTTCTAGTAATTTGCCTCGTGGGATTAGGTCTGGTGGTCTTCTTCTTCAGTTTTCTTCTGTCAATATTTCGTTCAAAGTACCACGGCTATCCATATAGGTAATATATTTATACTAGTACGGATGTTTTCATTTTAAACAGCATAAATATTTTAGAGTTAATATAATGTAAGTATCTGAATTACTGGCCCTCTGATTTTAATGCTGTTCAGCAAGGTATAAGCACCCAGCATTTATTCAGCATAATGGGCCTGTGCAGAGACATCAGACAGTTCTTGTTACCAATGTGTGTTTTCAGTTTAGACTGCATGTGCATGTGTATTACATAGGTAGCAAAATGACCTTGAAGTAACAGACTTGGACACATTCACCTCTCCTTATTTACTTGTCATAATTCAAGATTGCTTTCTCGTGGAATGTTCTCTTCAGTGTCCTTTAAATGTTGCAGCATCTTTTAAATGCTGCAGACTTGTAATAGGAGGACCATCGGAACCTGAGTCCCTGTCTGTTTCCAGTGTGAAGTTGACCTCCACTGGGTAAGGTGACTCATTCCCTGTGATGGTGCTACGACTGTAGAGTTGGACTCAAGTGGATAGAAATGTAGATGGACTCTCTTAAAGTAACTCAGAGGTGGGAATCATACCTAAGAATTGCTTTGTGAATGTGAAATTCAACAGGTTAGATGAAAACACAAAAGGAGTTGTTGCTAAGCAACAGAATCAGTGGAAAGTGGAAAGAAAGCTGGCCAAGAGAGCCTGGGAACCATGATGTTCTAGCAAGGAGAGGTCAGAGTGAGGAAGCAGAAGGCAGGCTTTCCACACACTCGGGTCTGTGTTGTGCTGTTGCAGCAGGGCGGTGGGTCACCCCACTTGTTTACATTTCAGTGAGAAATTACTTTCTTGCGTTTATGTTATAGTGTTCTTCTGTCAGTGTCTTCTCTAGGAATCCCTACAAGCTTTGACTTTTCATTTCATTCAAGTATGTCCTCCTTTTCTCACAAATTTTAATTCATTCCATTATATTCTTAAAACCTTTGATTTCCTCTATATGACATGAACCTTTCTTGATTAAAATACAAATAAAATGAATATTCTGAAGTTGGCTCACACAACATATTTTTCACACAAAACTCTTCATGTATGTATCTGCTTAAAGCATAACATCTAAACTTATATATCTATCTTGCTTCCTTAAGGCTTCTCCATGATAGTAATGAAAGTATTGTGCAGCACCAATCTGTAGCATACCATAACTAAATTCACAGATTGCCTGAGGCTGTGATAACGCATCCAGTCTGGTTGTGACCATAGGCAAATTGCTTAACTTTTCTAACCTTAACTGTTCTTGTTTATAAGTAAAGACAATTTTACGTACCTCATTATTATGTGAGATATTGTGTGTAAATCTCTTAGATCACCAGTACGTAGTAGTAATTAATTACTCAATAAATGTTTAATGCTAATTATCATTAATACTGGTTATAAATATTTACACTCATATTTGACATTTTTCTAAATGGAGTTTTCTTCACAGTGCACACCAAGTAGCTTTGGTTCATATATACATAATTTGAGTGAAGAACAGATTTTTACTGAACCTTTTGATGAATTTAATTGGGCTCCAGAGTCCCTTAAAACTTGCCAGTGAAATATCAAGACTCTTAAAGATTTTATCTTTGGTCCTTGTGGAGCTCCTATCCTTTCCTCATCAGACTAACTCCCCTTCTTTCTTATGATTCCCTGTACTCTGCCAAAGGTTTGGTCATGAGTCTTTGCTTTGAAAACACTGCTAGTTAGAGTCTTTCCAATGCGCTCAGTAGACTCCTGTCATACGTTCGATATCTGGGCACAGGGTCTTTTCTGAGACTGACATGCAACCAAGGACCATGTATGAATGTAACCTAGAACCTCTGCTCAGATGTAGCCTGTGGTAGCTCAGTAACCAATTGGTTTCCCATAGTGAGGGGAACAAGGACTATTTCTAACAAGAAGTCAATGACTGGCTCTTTGGCCTCCCCACCCCCCAAGGGAGGAGCGGTCCTGTTAGGCCACAGAGGAGAGCTTTGCAGCCAGTCCTGAAGATACCTGATAAAACAGGATCAGATGAATGGGGAGGAGGTCCCCCCTATCAGTGGACTTGGCAAGGGGCACGGTGGAGAGGAGGGAGGGAGGGACTGGGAGGGAATGAGGGATCGGGACACGGCTGGGGTACAGAGTTATAAAATGTAACTGATAAGAAAAAAATAAAATACAAAAAAAAAAGATTTTATCTAATTACCATCTGAGACATAATTCAAATGACATTTTATTTAGCTGGTAGCACTGACTTCATTTCATATATTGAATAAAAATTGACCTAGTCCTTTGCTCTGGTTTCTAAGAAGATAGTGCTGGTATGGATAGATGGTGGTCTGCACTTAGAGATAATTATCTTCTTAGCCTTTTCTAATGACACTTGGACTTACAAGTATTTTCTATAGCATCTCTAAGAACATCTATGGATCTTCAAAGTCCCTACTGTAGTAAGAGAAAGCATGAAATGTTTGTATTCATACCATCATTGTGCTTCTGACTGTCTGAGGAGCCTTAATTGGCTCAGAGTGACAGGGTAGCCTAATAAGAAAATAATAATTAGGAGCAGGAGATCTGAATGCAAGTTTGGGATATGCTTTTGTACTTTTAATAAGAGCTCCTACTCTGTAGTTGCATAAAGTCTTAATTAGATGTATTAGATCATCTCCCTGTTAATGTAGAGTCTTAGAATTAACTATTTCCATATCATTTTTCCCTCGGCTATGATGTAGTACTTTTAGGGGGTTGGAGACAGGTAGTTAAATGTTTCTCATTTCTGTACCCGTACCAGCATCATTAGCTATTTCTTTATATGTGCGTATACACACCTACCTCAGAATTATATGTGAATAAATGCATAGTCTCTGCTGTACTCTCGGTTCTCAGTGATTTCACCTAACCTTCTTCATTTGCACCAGGCACTTTTTCATTTATTCTATATCGTTTCACTATATTACATTGTTTTGTTAAGCTTTTATATACAATCCACTTATGTGTTTTCATTTCTTTTCTTTCTAGAAGACTGTATTAGGAGAAACAGTCCTTAAATACAACATCTTGTGTGTACAAAGGACTGTGCACATACTAGGTGCTGATCATATACTTGCTAATTGAATCTTATTTTCTCAAAACATTATCTACCTTAGGGTAATATAAAGGAACCATTAAAACAGTGAAAAGCACAAATCTGTTACCTTGTCCAGCTCCAGCTCTAATACATGTTGAGTAATACTCCTGGAGAGTTGTCTATTTGCCCCACACAACTAAGAGAATTTATGGAAAGATAGTTTAAAAAAATAAAAGCCAGATTGTATTCACTATATCCAGTAGGCCCAGAAAAGTCCTCTCATCCTAGAAAAAGAACTTGTAGTTAATTTTGCCTTTTGTTCCTTTGAATTATGATCAGTAGCATTCAAATGACATGAAGTTGAAGAACTTCATCATAGCAGCTAGATATGAAAGACTCGTAAAATGGCTCCCTGGTCGCTCTGTAGCTGAGCAGGCTTGATGGTCTGTGTGCTGTGGTCTGAGTGCGGCTGCTGTGTGCTCTGAGGGGTTTCAGGCGAGTTCCAAAGTCGCAACAAGGTTAAATCTCGCTTTTCTCAGCGCAGACCTAACTGCCTGGGGCCTGCAGCCACTGAGGCTGAGCCCCAAGTCCTTTATCGGCAAAGGCCAGCAGTACTGTGTCTCGGAGCCCCAGATTCACGCGCAGCAGCTGCACCATCCTCCCAGGGCCCGAGTCTGCTAGACGCCATACTAGCTCCGCAGGATCGCGATCACTGACGGTACGGCCCGCCCAATACCACAGTGACAGAGAATACACTATATACTCACCAAAACCAGACAGAAACGCCATACAAGCTAGACACACCAGGCGCTGGGCCTCCGAAGCTTGGAGAGCAAAGTAAAGAGACCCCAGGACTTCCCAGAAAGCATCTGGACTAGCAACCCAGTCTCCAGTTACAGCGGGACTTTCTAACCTGGCGGCGGAGCAGCACTGAGCTGGCGGGGCACATCAGCCCTCCAGTTTAAGACTAACCAGGGCCAAACCAGAGAACAGAAAGGCTGGTTACCCCGATTCCCACTGACGTGACCACCCTGAAATCTCCAGCTGCAGCAAGACCTCATAACCTGGCAGTGACAGCAGCACGGAACTGGCGGAGCACATCAAATAAGCAGGGCCAAACCAGAGAGCAGACAGCCCAGATACGCCGATCTCTGCCAAGTGTCCTGCCTGTACAGCTAGTCCTCAGCATACGCTAAGGACACCGGACCTCTCTCAACTTCCTGAAGAATTCTCCAGACTCGAGAGAGAGACAGTACCAGTCTGATCGGCTGAATCCAAAAACAAACAGGGAAGGTCTCAGATAAGCCAATGGCCAGGGGTAGGCGAAAGAACATTTCCAACATAAATCAGGACATCATGACTTCACCAGCAAACCCCAAAATCGATGGATATTCCAATTCATCAGAAGCACAGGAAAATGACCTTAAAGCCATGCTTGCTCAATTATTTGAGGCTCATAAGGAGGAAATGAACAAATCTTTCAAAGAGATGGCCAGTCAATTGGAGGTAAAGAAAGAAGAAATAGACAAAACCCTTAAAGAAACACAGGCAAACATAGCCAAACAAATAGAGGCACAAGTAGAGAAGAAACTAGTGGCATACAAAAAGGAAATGAACAAAGAAATAGAGTCCATCGTAGAGAGACAGGAATCCAAATTCAAACACATAAAAGAAATGGTGCAAGGCATGAAAACAGAATTAGAATCAATAAAGAAAACACAAA